AGGACGCGCCGAGGGCTGTCAGCGGCCACAGCTGCCTTCCCTGGCAAGCTCCGGGCTGCACGATGTACTCAGCCCTGGAGCTCTTTCTTCCTTTCAGTGCGTCTGTCAATAGGCTTGTGCAGAAAGCCATGCAAATCGCCTCTCCACATCAGAATCTGCTGAGCTAAAAAGGCCGTTAAATTCAATGGGCTGGCTTTCAGCGGGGCGGGGGCATCGTAGAAACGCTGAGCAGATCTTTAAACAGGAGACAAGCAAGCCCATGGCGTGATCCTTTCCATTCGACTGGGCACGGCCGTGCCCGTGTGCCAGTTCATCGTCCGGCTCGCACTGGGGCACGGGTACTGAGTGATCGAGGGGACGCTCGGTGTTCAGACGTCTCCTGCCAGACCCTGCCCTGCTCACTGTGACGATCCCGCGGCACCATTTCGTCCACCAAAGTCATTCAAGCCCAAACGACATGTGTGTTGATTCGTTTCTCGGGGGCCTGCCTGTCTGAAATAAACTGAAGTATAATTCTCATCACTGGATGGATCAGCGGACGTGGGAACCAATGTTCAATACCCTTAAGCCCCGGAAAGACTTGGGGGTTTCTGTAGCCGAAGGGGCAGTAGCCGGGACAGTTTCCTCACCGAGACACAGGCATCCCAGGGAACGCGGGGAGTTAGGGCGAACCTGGTACCCACACTGCCCGGAGGTGCGTGGCGACCTGAGGTCCTGTTCCTGGGGGTTCACACGGTAACGAACGAGCCGCCTGGCTTGCGCGGCTTACGTCGCAGCGCTGTCTCGTCGCTGCACTTTCTGTCTCGGTCTGGTCATTCGCGCAGAAAGTAAAGGTTTGTCCTCCGTATGGTTTTCCCTGACCGTGAAGATGCACCTGTTTGCGCCTGCGCCGTTTCACCGGCCGGGCCGCTCTCTCTCTAGGCTCCATCCTCCCTGAGATTATGATGCGATTAAATGACAGGGATGCTGACCTCCACCGGGAGCTGACCCGGCGACCCCGGCGATCGCGTGTGTGGAGCCGAAGGCAGGCCGGAGCAGGGCCTGGGGTCCCTCGGGAATGATGGGGACCCGGAGGCCACAGGCACCCTCAGGTGCGAGAGATGGCCGCGCCCATAAAGAGGAAACCTCGCAGGAGCACTTCCCGGGTGCACAGCGGGTGCAGCGGCTCTCGGGCCTGGAAGTGGGGAGCGGGGTGCCTGCAGGAACCCAGTCAGCCGAGCTGGGGACCGTGCCAGTGACCCAGGGACAGCCGGGGTGGGAGACGGGGACCCCAGCATCCAGGCAGGGTGGGGAAGAGTGCGGCGGAGGGGCCCCAGGCGGGCCTTGAACCCGAGGACAGACCGGTGGGTAGGGAGCAGCCCCCGCCCGCCAGGGGTCTCAGCAGAGCCGACGCCCCGCGGCCCTGGCCAGAGCCAGCCTCCCGCACTGGAGAGGGCCGTCGGTGTTCTGGGCCTTCGTCACACCTGGGCTCGCAAATATTTACTCCCCTGGCAGCTGATCTCTGTGACCCTTCCTGTGACATGGCCTTTGGCCGAGCACAGCCTGTCATTATGACGTTTATCACGTCTTTTCTTTCGGTGTCTTGTCCACGAACTCACACCGCAGTCGGAATCCTGCAGTTTTTCCTGTTCTCTCCTGAAAGGTCCATGGTTTTGTGTCTCAGACTCCAGGCTGTGGCCCGTCCTGAGTGAATGTGTGTCTGATGGGGGAGGTGGAGGTGACGGTGTTTGGGCTGTTGTTCTGCCTCTGATGTGGTCGCTCTGCTCTTGGGTGGAGGGGGTCCGCCAGCTTGAAGACGGCCTAGGTTGCTACCGTTTTCCAAGCAAGTCGGTCACTGAGCCTGGTTGTGGTGCCCTGTTGATCTATGGCCTGAGGGCAACCCAGTGACCTCGATCATTTATCTATTTATCTATCGGGAGGTGGGGGGTGGGGACGTGAAGCTCCCGGCCCCATTTCCAGCCACTGCTTGCTCAGATAAGCGCCCTGAGAAGGCACGCGGCGAAGACGGGAGCTCAGTCGTGCGTGTTCGAGCTGAACAGCTGTTTATGCCCCGACGGCCCGTGTGTGTCCCGCAGGCTCGCAGGTAGGTTTTCCGCAGTAAACTGACCGGAGCAGGAAGCGTTGGGAAACCTGCTTCTGGCAGGGCCCCCCGCAGAGAGGGAGAGGGAATGAATGATTAACCAGGGTGATGGCCGGACTCTCCGCAGCCCAGGGAGCAGCCTGTTGACTCACGCAGTGCGGGCGCGGGGCACGCCCCCCAAGCGCTCAGCTCTGCGGACGGTCTCCTTCCTCGTCGCGCAGGGGCCGTGGGGACACCGTGCTGAGCGGGGGACGCACACCTGGTCCAGGTCATTCCTGCTGCCGCTCGGAGCAGCCCTGTGTCCACCGCGCCCCGCCTTCTCCCGGCGTGGCTTGCAGACCGACAAAGGCCAGGTCCTCAGGGAGCTGTGGTCTGGGAGAAACTGAGGCGCTGTCCTGAGCGCGCCTGCCCTCAGCCACCTACTGTCCTGCAGAGGGGGGGCAGCCTCCGGCCGCTGGGCGCCTGGGGTGCCCGGGGTGAAGGTTGAGCTCCCTGGGCAAGCAGGCGGGGTCCCGGTCGCCCCTGGCCTGGAGCAGGAGCGGCTGTGCGCACAGTTCTCCGGCTTGTCGGACGGCGAGCAGCTGAGGAGGCCGCTCCTAACTCTCACGGAGCCCATCTCTATACACCTCGTCTTTTTAAACGGAATTTGTTGGGGGCGATACTTGGTAATAAAAGGAGAGCAGTTTCAGGTGCACAGGCCTGTGGTGCCTCATCTGCATATTGTGCTGTGTGTTCCCCACTCACGTCTCCTTCCGTCACCATCCACCCCCTTACCTCTTCCACCTCCCACCCCTCCCTCTGGTCACCCCCTGCTCCTGTCTGTGCCATGACTCTTCTTTCTCAGTCCCTCCACCTTTCCCCACCTCCCATCCCTCCCCTCTGACAGCTGTCAGTCTGTTGTCTGTATCTGAGAGTCTGTTTTTATTGTGTTTGTTTTAAAACCAATGATGACAGGTTGTCAGATTCACACACACACAGGCAGCCTGTGGTTGCCCGGCAGAGCGACACTGTCCCGCGGCCTCGGAGGACAGAGGCTGGGAAGACGCTGGGGGGTGGGGGCGGGGAGAGGGCGGGAGAGGGAGCTGCGGTCCCCAAGCCGTGGTTTCCTGGCCGCATCCAGGACCTGGCCGACCACCGCCGAGCTCCCCGCTGGAGAGGAGCTGCCGGAGCCCTTCTCTCTCTCAGGCGCGTCTCTCTGCCCTTCCTTGTGCCGCGTTCACTCTGCCCTCACTGCCCGACTGCTGCTCGGGTCACCGGTCCCGGCTCCCAGGCCACCGGCTTCTGCTCCGCTGGGGACGGCGGGGATCGAGCAGCCGGCAGCCCCGGCGGGAGAGACAGACGCGTGGGGTGTGGGTTGGATGACCCACAAGAGACCAGACATTTCCCTCTTCCTCCTGTTCCGCCTTCTGAGCCGTGAATTGATGTCCGTCCGTCCCGCTCTGCCCACGTCCCCGCTGCATTCTTTGCGCCGACGCTCTCCTCACATGTCTCCCACCACCCCCCCAAACGAGCAGCGAGCTGTGGGCCATTCAGGAAGTCGTCCAGGCCATAATGGCCCGTTATCTGCGGCCAGCGTTTACTCAGCTCCCCGCGCCCACTGCCCACTTGAAGCGGGGACTGGCTCGGAGCCCAGCTGCTCCCCCGCCAGCTCCGTCCACAGAGCTGCCCCGCTGCCCGCAGGCCCCTGTGCCCGCACCGTGTGCTCCTTCCAGGAAGGTTCTCGCTGGCATTTGAAAGGGTTGTGCTCTGGCCCTGGAGCGTGTTGCTCAGTGGATAGCGCGTCGGCCTGCAGACTGACGGGTCCCGGGTTCGATTCCTGGTTGGGGCACATGCCTGGGTTGTGGGCTCGATCCCCACTAGGGGGCGTGCAGGAGGCAGCTGATCCATGATTCTCTCTCATCATTGATGTTTCTCTCTCTCTCTCTCTCTCTCTCTCTCCTGCTCCCTTTCTCTCTGAAATCAATAAAAATATTTTGTTTTTTTTTTAAAAAGAGAGAAAAACGCCCAGCTCTGGCTCGTGCGGCACTGCTCCTCCCTCCCTCCCTCCTGCCTTTCCCTCGTCACCTGCCCATCCACCATTCCTCTCTGTCTCCCTGTATTTGTTTATTTATTTGTTTGTTTGTTGGGCTGGGCTTTGCTGACAAGATACAAATGCTGCCTCTGTGAGACATCGAAGGGACGGACGCTGAGAGTGAGGGGAAGGAAGGGCCACGCCTCCAGCCCCCATGGACATGGGCAGGAGTGGGAGAGAAGCTTCCAGAACTCGCTCCTGCGTTTGACGTGCAAATGCAGGTACAAGTAGAAATAGGTCGTGAGGTTTCGCTTCTGTTTTTATACAAAGGCGTGCGTGTCAGGCCCCGTGTTCTGCCGCTTTATCTTTAACCTTCCTTTCACCTGCGAGCTTTCCGGGGCCGTGAGTGCAGAGCAGCCTGTGGGGTGTGGCTGTGCCGGGCACGGGGCCTGCGGGGGCTTGGTAGCCGTCCACGCACAGCCGGCCTGTATGCAGATGCCTCTGCTGGACTCGCTGCCCAGGCCGGGGCGTTGTCTACTCGGTGTGGTTTTGTTTGGCATCTGTGAGGTTGCCTGGTGCAGGGCCGGAGGCACCTGGGTCTGCTCCGAGCACCGAGGCCCAGGCCTCTCTCCACTGGCGCCGTGTCTGCCTCCCGTGGAGTCCAGCCCGAGGCAGTGGCGGCGGCAGCTCCGCCCCGTCAGGTCCCGGGAGGAAGCGAGTCTCTGAGCGAGGACGCAGGAGCTTCATCAAACCTCGGCTCCAGGGCCAATGATGGCAAAACCATCCGGGACGGACGTGCACCCACAGCTCCCAGCCCGGCTGTATGGGGCGTGTGGGGCACGGAAGGGGGACTTCCTGTCCAGAGCTGGCCCTGGGCCCTGGGCAGCGTGTTTTCCCCACTGCAGGGGCAGCGTGCTCCCCAGACGCCGGCATCTGCTGATCACATTGATCCGTTTGGAAGAAGTTCGTCTAGAGGCGAGTTTCCATTGAGCGGGAGGAGAGAATGAATGGGCCCAGCCTCCCGCCCTTGTCCTCGGGGAAGAGAGCTCCCGGCCATGGTGAGGCCTCCAGACTGCGGGTCCGCACAGCACAGTGGGCCTCGGAGGTGGGCGCCCTCCTACGGCCCCGGCGATCGTCCGAGGACAGGCTGGCCTGCCCGTCGGAGGCCCAGGCACAGAGGGTGCAAGGGTGGAGCTTTGGGCCGTCGATGGACCGTGCTGGGAGCATCCTTAGGTTGGAGGCCGATACCTGCTCATAGTTTCCCACCAAGAGCCCTGAGGAACTCGGGAGGAGGCGTTGATCCAGCGCGTCCTCGCAGTTCTCTTCCCCGCTCGCATCCCGCTATGATGCCCGGTCTCAGGGATGTGGGAAGCCGGGGCAGGAGACGGGAACGCAGCGAGCGCCACGTGTGCTGTGCCACAGGCTCCGGACAGCCCGGCCCCTGCACAGGAAGCTGGTGTCTTTGAAGTGTTAGAACGGCCTCGGCCGAGTTAGCGTGTTGGACCGTGAACACCGTGACTCGCGGTCACACCAATCCACGGACTCCCACTTTAGGGGGCACTTTGTGCCGGGAGCCCTGGCAGCTGGTCAGACCCCGCAGGACCCCCTGCTGCCCGGCCCCCTGCTGAGGGGTGCCCGGCTGTGGCCTCCCCGGGCTGGGGGCTGGGAGGGGGGGCAGGCATCCTCTGCTGCCAGTGCTGGGCCCTGTCCCCAGGTCTGACCCGTGAGAAAGTGGGTGTGGATTTCACAGCCGCTCTCAAGGCTTCTGCCAACTTCTGTGAACAGATGTGGAAACAAAAAAAAAAAAAACCAAATAAAAAAGACAGAGGCCTCCGTTTCCTCACTGTGGTCGCTGGGGTGTTTCTGGGGGAGGGTGGACGGTGCTGTTTGCTCTCGGAGCCGGAGCGGGTGCGTGGACCATGCCTTGTTCAGTGGTCATGGCGGGCGGTGCCCATCGGCGGTGTCTGCCTTTTCCTCGTTGTTTCTAAGACACGGCTGGGAGCCCCGTGCCGTCGCCAGGTGTGTGGGAAACAGGGCGG